ATATAACCCAATTATATTGAGATATCATTTTTGAGGTCAAATTGTCCAGTCCTACCTTTAAGTCCAGAACAGATAGCTGCTTCCAGATTGTAAACCTGCTACAAAACCAGTGTATGGAGAACTAAGTCATCTGATAAGGAGAACACATCTGTACTAGAGATGTACCAAGAATCAGCTGGTAACCAAAATCAAACATTGAACAATCCAAAACTTAAAAGTCCAATCTTTTTCCAATCTCTGAAATCTCCATATTGATCCACTCGCACATTGTGAGAACCACACTTAGTGTGCGACTTGTTACTGCAAGATTCCACGTTAACCATTTACAGTATCAAAGCGATGTTTTGAAATTAAGTCAGAAGAAGCACAAAAGCAAATTTAAAAGAAAACTGTACTCTGTATGCATTCATATAGGCTGTTCAGTCAGAGTGCTATAGACAGCTCCTGTTGGGCATTTTGCTCAATATTTCTTTTTTTGCTGTTTGATTTAGTACTTAACCTTTTCGGGTATGAGAAACAGCCCTCTGCCATAAGATACCTATTTGTAACCACCTTGGAACTAGCAAAAGGTGGAAGACAGTCTTGAGCCAAATTCAGCAGATACCAGGAAGGCGCAGCTTAACAGTTAGTCATTCTAGCTGCAGAACTGACTGCCAATATAAAATTCAAAAGACATCTTAAAAGGTCAACTACATAATATTATCTTTTTTTTTTAATAGTATGTTTTTTAAATTAACTCCTCTTATAGACATGGTGTGATGCTACCTCTGCTTCTGAAAAATAATGACTAACTGAACTCAAGTGCGCTAAAAATCTGTTTTTATTGTTGATAACTATAGTTCATACAAGAAAGCAAATCAAGCTAAGACAAATTGGTTTATCAAAGTGTTGCACATTTTTCATGTTTCTGAACCCTACTACTGACGCCAGCTTAAAAAATAACTTAACTGTCTCTTCTTAAGAGAAAGTTGTATTTTTTTTTTTTTTTTTTTACCTTGGAATGCAGAGAAATCGGCTTTGTTTGCTCAAGCTGGTCAAATGTGGTGCAAAAATAAATCTCATGCAGTTCAAACTCACCAATGCAACTAAGCAGTGTGTATACTTTCACTGAGTTACAGGATTTCTGCAGGACACTGAAACCTGGTGAAAGGGTCAGAGAAACAAACATTCCTGTTCAAAACATTGTTCACACAGCAAAATGACATGAAGGGCGAAAAAGTGAAAGGTGTGTTTCAGTAACTTGCAAAATGTATTTAATAATTTAATCAATGTCAACATCTAACTCTGAATCGGACTCAAAATGTGAAAAATGCCATATTAATGTATGATTGCCTAAAAGTTTAAACTGAACAAACATACTAAGATTTATCAAAACTGAACTTTGAGAATCAACCAATGACACCAGACTCCCAACCTGAAAGAACTAAAACACTTGTAAAGGATGAAATAATCACAGTAACAAAGTTAACCCAGAAATCCAAAGGACTCAGCCAAGTTCTGATGAAACCAGATCTCAACACCAAAAAATCCCCTGGAGTTATCTCACAATCAGGCACTCGGCAAAATCTTACAGATATGTATCTTCATACATCTGAGTCAGCAAACAGCACTTCAGCTCCTCTTTGTACAAAACATCAGAATGACCATCTTAACCAGCAAACATTATATCAACCAAACATTAATGACAGCAGGAGAAACTCTGTAGACAACAGAAGCATTATCATTAATTTTTAAAAAGAAATCTTAGGAACATTTATTGAGAGCAGCATTAGCATCATGCCAACCAGAGCAACATAAGCATCATATAAACCATAGCAACGTTCACAACTGATTATCAGCAAAGAACAAATGATAGCAGCTGATGAACAGAAACACAGTGGAAAAGAGCAGAGCAATATGGCAGCTAAGACCAATAAAACACGCAGAGCAACAGAAGATGGAGCAAACTTGCCACTTGTAAAATCCTCTGCATTGCCATTCAAGATGGAGGGTCCACTGCCCTCTGTAACTCAAGCAAAGCTAAAATTGTTGGAAATACAAAATGCCTTCATGCCTGCAGTGTACTACACAACATGATGCTCAGCATCATCAACCCCAGAGAACCAAGCGCCACACTGCAGATTACACAAATGACAACAGAGATGGACAATTCTTTCAATGCTTTGAAAAGTAATCTTCATTGAAGTTGTAATGATCCTCACACATTGGTGTTAATGTACCTAAGCAGGCAGCATAAAGAGGAGAAATAAGACCAAAGTACAGTAGAAACCAGGAGAAGAAACCATCCAACCAACACTGGATACTCAAGGAACAGCGATGCAAAATGAAGCTGGAAAGATTCAGAAAACCACTTCCTGCAAAAAGAAGGAAAAAAAATGCAGATTTTTATTTTTAAACAACAAATTCAGAATCAGGGAACAAAACACACAATACTCCCCATGTTTTTTTTTTTTTAAGTAACTAAATCAGTAGGAGGGACATGCCAACGCAACATGGAGACCAAATCTGACAAAACAATAAGACAGCATCAAAAAAATCTGAGGTCAAATCAACATGCCTTTTCCAACCTCTTGCTATTATTGCAGTCACTGATCATTCCTGACTCTGCTCGTAACAAAGCTCCACTGGAATCCACATTCTGAACAGGAATTCATAAGAATAATTGTTATATTTAATAATCCTCAGTAATTCAGTCCCTTTACACACAAAACTGAAATCATGCATACAAGTGGTCAAGATATACAGCCATTCAGAACCTGCATTATGCTCTCCAACAAGAGTACTTTCAAGTAAACATTAATTATCAAACACCACAAATGAGCAAAAAGAAAACAGAATCACAAAGGCCTTTTTTTCAGCTAAAGTATCATCATACTCAAAATGCATGTGTGGCAAATGTGTTATTTTAATGTAAAATAAACTGTATTTTTTGCACTGCTTTAGAAAAAAACTATATTAATGAGAAGCAAGATATGCACTTTCAGGGCAAACAGTTACATCATGTAAATAGAGAGAAATAAACCAGTATCTATTAAGCTGCGATTTAGGCTCTCATATTTTCACAGGATTCAATGGAAATGGAGGAACAAACATTATCCCAGAATTCAAGCTGTTAAAACAATGGCTTCAGATACACACACAGTCTTAGTTTAGAAGTCCTATGCTAATTTATTTTTGAAAATGTTGCCAACACCTCTTAATTCATTACAGACCAATTGAGAGAATTGGTCTGCAATGAATTACGTCAAGATCATTGCTCTCGTTTACCTTTATTTTATCAACCTGGATTCTTGAATGAAAATACTTTGAAATAAAATATTTTGATAATAATTTGTTTGCGTTTACAGTTTCCTGTATGCAGCTGTAAACACAATGAATCAAACTTTAATCAGCTAACCTCATTGTGAGCTGTACCGTGAAGAAAATAATGAATTTCGGACAGCTAGCTAACGGTAAGTAGCAACCAAAAAATACGAGCTTTCGAGAAAAACCATGCTAAATATTTAGTCAATACTGTTCAAACTAAACAAAGCTTCGACACATATCCTCTGCACACATTTTCTAAAACTCGTTATCGACTAATTCCAACCAGCGTGTTTCATCTGTATTAGCATCCATTGAGGCTAACCTCCCATTAGCAGCCATCGCTGCTGGTGAAACCTGTGAATGAGTGTTTTAGAGCTGAAAACCGAGCAGTTCGCGGGCTTTCCAAGCCGCCTGGACAGTGTCATTAAGCGGCCTGTCGAATGTGGATTCTTACCGAGGAATTTTGTCAATTTACACACTGATGTTTTAGTCATACACGGGAGTCTTTTCTTCTCTCTGCAGGGTGTTTCTGCACGAAATGTCGGCGCAAACACCGCGATAACAGCAGCGATGACGCGAGAGTGTGCAGCCTCCGCCCCCTGCTGGTTGAATCTGGTTAAAGCAAACTCTTCTTATTTTTATTGGCTGTTGGCAAAAAAAAAAAAATGTCGCGTAGGCATTACCGCCACCGTAAGTAGAGAGTGGTTCATAATGATTTTATTTATAATATCTAGATGTACTTAGATATTGATATTAAGGAAAACTCACTCCGTTCAATAAATACATTCTGATCTATTGAAAACCATTCCAATTAACTAAAATATTCATTTGTGTCCGAAAATAGAACAACTGTTTAATGTATAGATATTTCACTGCACTTTAATCCAGATTGTATGTATTCAAACTCCTTGAACTGTTTTATATTTCAATGCATGTTATTTGTTTTGTATATAATAGAACATAAAAAAATATATGCTCACTGCAAGGAGAGTGAAGCTTGTCAGAATTTTGGGGGAAAGACTTGAGACTTGAGACTGAGGCAAAGGTTCAGCTCCCAACAGGAGCCAGAAATACAGTGGAATGATTGAGAGTTAGAATGGCCTGGTCAAAGCCTACACCCAAACCAACAGAGAATACATCTAGATGTAAATATTGATTTTTTTTTTCACAAATAATCTCCACCCAAGCTCACTGAACTTGAGCTGTTTTACAAAGAAGAATGGATAAACATTTCATTCTCTAGATGTGAAAAGCAGGTAGAGACACAGTGAAAAAGATTTGCAGTTATTAAAAAAATTGTCCTTGAATTTTGCCTTTACCTTTTGTTGGTCTCATCACACACATAAAAACCTGAAAAAAATACCCTAAAATTTGTGGATATATTGCAGCACGATATGGAATGTGAACATGTATCTCAGCATGGTGTTAGAAAGTGAAATACTAAATTATTTCAGATAAAGAAAATCAGTAAAGATAGGAGAGTGTGAATACAGACAATGGATGCTTTTCCTTTTAAGTTTGTTTTCAATGGTGAGAAAATCATTTTTTCATCTTCTTTGCAAGCTGAAATTATTTTTCTTTTGAATCTTTTAACCATAAACTGCATGATCCCTCATATTTAACTCTTTAGCAGAGTTAAATATGAGAGAGTGACACGACCTGTGTAAATAAAAGAAAACACAAATTGGTAAAAGTCTTGATTGCATAAAGCATTGATTTTATTGGGTACTAATGAGCACTGTGTAACAGCAGAAACTGTGGCGTAATGAAATACAACAGCTGGAGGAGCCTAGGAATAAAATACATCTCTTAAAGAGACGTTTACATTTGCTTTCCTAGTGTGGATTTGGAAAACAATTTTCTGGATTTCTTTAATCATCTCATATGGATGTTTATCAAATTTCTGTTTGGAAGTTATTTCATCACAATTGTTGATTTATTAAGAATTAGTCTTAAGAATGTTCCACACTAACTACTGAAGTGGATAATTTCAATGACAACCAATGATGAAGGTTCAACCTGCTTATTTGATGGGAAAACTGAATAATCCTTCAGATGGATCATAAAAAAAGAGATGAGACAAACTGACACTTGTGTTTAGATTCACGCTGTATGTTTTTTGTCCAGGGAGTGGACTGTTTCCTATCCATATGCCATTTTCATGTAACACTTACTTTATCAAAAACAAAAAAAATCAGTTAAAGAATGCAAACACTCCCATACAAATTCCTGCTTTCATATGTAACAAATTGAAATCAACATTTACAAAAACCCATTTCTTTTCATCATCCAAAATATCATCACTTTTCGATTTGATCAAGGGCAGCCTTGTTAACGCATCACCTCGACAGGAGGCAGCGTCATGCGGTGGGCACGTGTTTTATCCACAGGGTCAGTGAAACTGCTCATAGTTGAAGGCAGATGTTTTTTTTGTTTTGTTTCTTAATATTACACCAACACTATTCCTTTTTTATAACATTTCACATTTTAACAAGACCAAAGTTGGATTTGTAAGCTGAGTTTTACCCTAAAAAGCTTTTAACCAGGCTTTGACATCAGGACGATCGTAAATCCATGTAATTCAAACTGATACAAACTGAAGCAGCATGACTGCATCTATATATTGTATATAAAACGGTAGTAGATGCATGTTCACTGTAGTACATTAATATAAATAAGAACAGCTGGCATAACACGCCAGTTTTTCCTTTTGCTTCTATTTATTTTAAATGATGTAATAGATGTTTCCTCTCCTTGCATCTTACACAAAAATGGAACAAACTATATATTCTGTCCATTGTACTCTACTGTTCTATCCCTTGTCATGATTCGCAGGATTCAGCTGACTCAGCTTTCAAGCTGCATCTGAGATCATATGAAGTTGCAGATTTTGTGGACGCCTCCTTGTAGAATACAACTATCAGAGACAGCAGTGTTGTTGCTTCATCTCTCCTAAGAGACCAACTTGAGGAACTTGTACAAAAACAAAGAGCTACAGTTACAAACAGACTTCAAGTCGGACAGGAAGTTTGTGCGTGTTTGCTCAGAGGAAAAAAAATAGCTGGACCATCCCAAGAATTTCTTAGGAACCGTAATCGTTATCGGCAAGCAGTTGGTGGGGTCTAGTGCTGCGTCCACTTGATGCTCTTCAGGTCAATGCCTTCCTGAACCATCTCCCAGAGAGGACTGAAAAGAGAGGAGACGGAGGAAGGTTAAGGAAGGCAGAATTATTTAAAAATATGTTATAGTCAACAATAAGACTTGATCAGATGAAAAGTAAGAGTTGGTCACCTCATCTCTCTGAGTCTGCGGACGTGCTGGATGCATTTCTCTGCTGTGTAATCGACTTCTTGTTCTGTGGTGAACCTGCCAATACCAAACCTGCAGCAAAGGGATTCCCTTTGATCTTATGCACATACAGTTTCATTTCAACGCTTCTCACAAGATTAACCAGTGCAATTTATCTCTAAATATACAGAACTAATTCATTCCAATCCGATCTTATCATATCGGCATCTAAGTCTGGGTCTGTTTATATTACTGGACTATACTAATTGATTCTATACACCAGGATCTGAACGGGAATGGTTTTATCAGGACTCTTAATAATGTTTTGGTGATTTGACACAGGATAAATAACCCAAATGAAATTAAAATATAGAGGTCCCATAACCAAATAAACAGAGGTCTCCTTCGTCTAGTATCTGTACCTGATGGAAGAGTGAGCCAGGTCTTCATCTGCTCCAATGGCTCTGAGAACGTACGACGGCTCCAGAGAAGCTGATGTACATGCACTGCAATCACACAAACACTCTTCTCTTTAAAAAAAAGTAACAACATGATACAGTTTTAAACTCATATTTGTTAAAGGTGACAATCTGACCTTCCAGATGACAAAGCAACATCCTTCAGCGCCATCAACAGACTTTCTCCTTCCACATAGGCAAATGAAAGATTAATGCATCCTGTAAACACACACATTCAGGTTTTTTAGTGAACAAGCTCTAAGTTCAAAACTGTCTTTTATGCTCCTCCTTCAAACTTACTGAACGGAGGCTTTTAGGTTTGAATGTAAGAGCAAAACGTTAAAGTTGGTTTTAAGTTTAGAAAAAAAAAGACTAACTAGATAACAAGAATGAAAGAAGGGAAGAGCGAGGATAGCAAAAAAAATGACCAGGGTAGCGCTGTTCTGGGTCTCCGTTCATGACAACGTCAGGAATCTCAGACATGATCTTCTGGACCAGACGGTTAGCCAGCATGGACACTCTTTGATGATCATACTAAACGCAAAAACAAATATTAGGTAATCATCAGGTCTGGTCACTGGTCACTTTTTTTTCTCCTGATTTTACCTCCATCTCCTTCTGAGATATGCTGCAGGCGGCTCCCAGCCCGACGGCCAGCGGAGTGGGTACCGTCCCAGAGCGAAGACCTCTCTCCTGGCCGCCCCCACTCTGCAGCGGCTCCAAACGAACTCGAGGTCGGCGTCGCACATACAAAGCGCCCACGCCTGCAAACAAACGCACACGTCACCAATTTATTCTCTCATAATTCATCAAAACCCATAATGAACAAGAGAAGCAAGCAGATATGCAGTGATTTAAATATATGGGTACAAATGGGTTTGTTACAGGTATGAAATGGAAGTAGGCTGTTTACATTATTATCTTAACCAACTATCGCTAATTATACTAACCTTTGGGTCCGTAGATCTTGTGACCACTAATGGACATCAGATCGACCTTCCAGTCAGAGACGCTGATAGGAATCTTTCCAACAGCCTGAGCAGCATCAGTGTGCAAGAAGACTCCCTTGGATCGGCAAATGTGACCTGAAAACAGGATGAGGAGTAAACCTTGATCAGACCAATAACATTAGCCAAGCAACGACAGTTGGCTGATTTACTTTGTGGTAACAAGCGCTTATTATATGCTGCCACATCTACCGATTTCCTCGATGGGCTGCTTGACTCCAATTTCATTGTTGACGGTCATCACGGACACCAGTGAGGTTTCCGGACGGATGGAGGACTCCAGTAACTGCAATCACACACACAGGTTTTATCGTTGGATCTACAACCACTATCAAAATTCCACGAAAGCCCTGTTACGAAGGGAAATTCTCCTGATGCAAAAACATCACACTATGAGAAATAATTTAAACACTTTTTCCACTTATACTGTGACATGAATTTGATATAAAAGTCAACTAAAACAAACAGATCTGTTAGAAAACTAAAAAAAAAGGTGAATTTACCCAGTTGTATAAGTTTGTACACCTTTGAAATTGCTTCCGATTGATTTTTAGTGCTCAGTCTTTATTGGAGAAGTCTGACAGCGTCTTACCTCTTGACTTCTAAAGATTCTCCAGATCTATCAAAGTCTGAGAACATTTACTGTCTTCAGCTTTTGAGGAAAATGATCACATTTAGTTCTCAAGTTTTGCTCATTTTTCTCTCGAGATGTCATTATTTTTATTTGACCAAAACTGGAAGAAAAACAAAACACACAGGTTTAATCTGGATAGCTTCAAACACAAAGTTGTTTCCTACTTCCTCCCTGCCCTGAGTATGTATTGTCACTTGTATGTGTTGTCATTTGTAGAAAACCAGTTGGAAATTCCTAGTGGCTAACTCTTCTTCAGAGTAAACCTTGGAAGTTTTAGTCTTTTCCTTTTATCTATTTTGGACTATGTTTTCCTTTCAGTTCAATTGCACAGGATATATTTCATAGAATATGTCAAAAAATTTTAAACAGTCTTCTCAAAGACTCATATTTTACCAACACTAAACCCTGACATTTAACATGGGTATGCACATTTGAGAGCCACTGCAGACATTGTCAGTGTGAACACTGTTGTAGTGTACCTGCAGGTCCAGAAGTCCGTTAGTCTGGACAGGCAGATAGGTGACCTCAAATCCTTCGGCCTCCAGGATCCGACACGAGTCCAGAACACATTTATGTTCAGTCTGTGTTGTGATCACATGCCGTTTCTTGGCCTGGTAGAACCTGGCCACGCCCTGCAGGGAGGAATACAAAAGATCAACACCCAGTGAGGTTCCATGTCTACATTTTTATGATTTTTTTTTTTTCCTTTGTTTTGGTGTGCTTTAATTTTATCTCATCATGTTTAAGTTTGACTTATTAATCAATTATTTCCTCACTATTCAAGCATTTTGCAGCCATAGGAGAAACCGATAGAGTACATACTAATATGATGTGCAGCAATTATTTTTATTATCAAATTTTTTCTTACTTTAAAACAAAACTAGATGTCAGAAGTGGGTTCAGGTTGTCTATGTGTGTAAATATAATAAAGTAAAAAGACGGGACCTTGATAGCCATGTTGTTGGACTCTGTGGCTCCACTGGTGAAGATGATTTCTCTGGGATCGGCTCCAATAAGATCGGCCACCTGCTGCTCATGGAAAAAAAAAACACAAAGTCAGCAGCTATTTTCAACAATTATGTGCCACTTTCCACAACATTGGTCCTGAGTTTCCTCAGCTTTCCCAGTGATTGCATAAATGTATTCTAATTTATTCATATGATAACATAATACTAAAGCAACAGAGTGAAAATCTGCATTTTGCAGAAAGGGTTTTCTAAAAGTAAACCATTTAGAGATGTCAAGCAGACCTGCAGCCCATCCAGTGGCAGATTTTGAGAGGGCCACAAGAATAGTCAGAAAAGTACAAAGTTGTACCCCAAATGACTTTTCTGTTGCAGAAGTTAGTATTTGATTTAGAAATTTTTACCCAATTTTGAAAAGATATATATATTTTTTTTTACTTACTTCTTAATTGTTTTTGATTGGTTGCATAATTACAATGTAGTTCTTTGCAGAACAGCTTTAGCAGGCTGTGTGACTATATGTGGGGCAGAACTGGGGAGTTCAAAAGGAGTTTTTCCCAGGGTGCAATTCATTAAAGATCCCACCACTGAGTACACCTGATCACCACTAAACTAAGTGAGAGTCTTTATACCTTCCTGGCAGTCTCCATGGCAGTCTCGCTCTCCCAACCATAGGCATGAGTCCTGGAGTGAGGGTTTCCATAGTAATTCACCTGGTATGGCAACATGGCATCCAGCACTCGAGGATCCTAAATGTACCAAAAAGACAAATAACTTGTTAAACACACACATAATCCATTAGTTTAGGAAGCTGCATGGTGTGCTGAGCCTGCTTCAGAAATGATCTTAGTCAAAGGTTTAAATAGAAGCATAAATCTCTTTCAAATGATAAAACAGTGAATTTGTTGCTAGTAAAGATGCACAGGATTTCCACATGAACAGATAAATCAACTACAAAGAAGAAGCTGAGGACGTTAAGGTCACACAAAGAAAACCTTACCCAACCTACAATGAGATATTTTAGCTGGAGAAGCTGATTTTATTTTCTTTTTTTTAAAGAGCTTCTTTGCTCATTAGCACTTTGAAGGTGTTGCCACATGGACAGAAGTCATGACTATTGAACTTCAAAATACAGAACTAAATTATAAATACAAATACAAGACAAAACAATTAATCACGACTTGTTGAATAATTGACAGGAAACAGTTACCATAGGAGTAGTAGCCTGGAAGTCCATGTAGAGGGGCCGCAGCTCATCTTTCTCCAGTTCATGTTTCTTGATCAGCTCTACAGTGAAAAACACAATTCACACAACATTTTAAACTCACTACAAAAATGTCCAAAACAATCAGGACATTATACAAGTTCAAGATCATTTAAGCACAAAAGGTTCTTACTGAATGCAGTATAACTATTTGTCATATTTTCTCATTTATCCAAGCTGATTAAATGATTGACCCAAAATCAGGTAATTGTCAGATATTTCAAAGTATAAAGCTACTCTGAAAACAACAATGGTAGTTTGGCTGATGGAAGAATCAGCTGGAGTGCTTAGCCTGGGATCCTATGTCATTGATTTATTCATCAACCATATTTATAAAATCAGAGAACACATAAAAACTACAAGTTAGCAGTATAAAAGTTAACATACATTTCTTTCAATTGGGAAAATTTTGAGTCACCAAACCAACTAATGCTCTAATTGCGTTTTATACAAAAGATAATAATAATTATTATTAGATTGACTTCGTCAATATGTACAGTATAAAATATACTCTGGTTGTTAAACCAATCGTGTGTGGAAGTACAATATAAAATACATCACATAACTATTTAAAAGCATTAGTGTTGTGAACACTAACGCCCATAAACACAATTCTTTTTATAAGTTGGCCTTTCAGACTCATTTATATACAGTAATGAAGTCAAATAGCGATGTATTTTTCTGACCCAGTACAATGATATTTAATTAGATCACAGGCATTATAAAGTTTCCTGTACCCCCTAATAAACTGCGTCACTTTGGGATTAGCTTAATGCTAGCTGCTTTAATTTAAATAAGTAGGTTAGACTGGTCCAGGTTGTTGTTACCTTTTTGCATGGAGTTAACGGCTGTCCGCTCAGGACACAGACGAAAAGGAAGCCACGAGGCCGGCCTCAGCAGCCGGGAGGAGATGGTCCTGCCCGGGGAAAGCATCGGGTCGGTAGACTGATTTTAGCTAAAGCTCCGTCGACCTCCGTCCAAACCAACACGCTGACAACAGCTTGAACACCGAAAATATAATGATGCGAGCTTGATCAGAAAGCAATGTTCCTGTGAGAGAAAGCTAAAGAAAAAAGTCTTTAAAAAATGTTGAACACGAGTAAAGTTCTGTTTTTGTCCGCCTGTCACTGTCTTACGCGCAGGTTCCAGTAGAATGGGTCAACGTCAAAATAACACATCAACATTAGCTTCCGGAGAGGACTTTCAAAACAAAAGACGTGACAAAACAACTACAATACAATTTTCTTTTTAGGTAACTCAATGACATTTCGAGTATTACATAACTTTGATTGTGCAATAAATTACACAACTAAGGTCCATTAAGAAAGTAGATGTAGAGGATAAGATAAGGTTTTATTTACGTCAAAAATATGTGAACATGTCAACGTACAATGGTCTTTAAACATTTGCACAAAAAGCTGCTCTTCTTCTTGAGTCTTGTGTCTTGGGTGGTGTATGGTTCTCTTTTGCTCTAAACTGCTTACACAACAGGATTTCACATTTCAAGTGATACTGCAAATTCCTTACTACTGCTTAGTAGTAGTAAGGAGTTTGCTGATTATTATTATGAACATTTCTGGAGCTGTGTTGTAGGATAGCTAAATATTTTTTTTCACCCTGCTAGTTGTTTTTTTTTTTTTTTTTTTTTTTAAAGTAAAAAACCATTTTACAACAATTTAGTGTCCCCTTGGGGCGGGACCCGTTTTTTT